TAGAAATGGATTTTGTTTCTTAATCCGTTCACTTAGCTTGCATCTTTTGACTGTGGCATTCAGTCCATTGATATTTAAGGTTATTATTGAAAGATGTATATTGGTTGCCATCATTTTGATTGGTGTGTCTTCTTTGTCTAATTTTGTGTTTCCTTGAGTATACCTTTATTTATTTTCTTTTGTTGTCCCTGGGGCATTGTTTTTTCTTTCTCTGATCTCTGTATTGCTTCAAGTATTCTTTAAAGGGCTGATTTTGTGACATGTATTATTTCAGGCTATTCATGTCATGGAAGATTTTTCTTTCCCCCTCACCTATAATAGACATTTTTCCTGGGTAAAATATTCTGGGATGGTATTCATTGTCATGTAGAACTGGAAATACCTTGGCCCAGGCTCTTCTGGCTTTCATAGTTTGCATTGATAAGTCAGCTGTAATTCTAATGGGCTTTCCTTTGTATGTGACTTGTTTTTCTTTTGCTGCTTTCAGTATTCTCTCTTTGTTCTGTACATTTAGTGTTTTTACTGTGATACATTATGGGGAGTTTCTTTTCTGATCCTATTTGGTGTTTTATGTGCTTCCTGTATTTGTATGGGGATGTCTTTCCTTAATTTCAGGAAATTTTCTTCCACAATCCTGTTTAAGATCTAATCAATACCATTGACCTGAAGTTATTCTTCTTCCTCTATTCCTATGATCTGTAGATTTGGACTTTTCATGGCGTCCTGCATCTTTTGTGTTTTAAATTTTTTTCCATAATATTTGCTTGAGTGGTCTAATTCTTCAACTTCATCCTCCATTGTTGATATTCTGTTTTCCATTTCATCCATTCTAGTGGTGAGGCTTTCCCCTGTTGTTTCAACTTGGCTCATTGGGTTTTACATTTCCTTCTTCATTTCTGTGTGAGTTTTCTTCAATGTTTCTCTCTCTTTTGTGAATTCATTCAGAAGTTTATCCCTGTCTTCTTTTAGCTCTTTGATTTGTTTGTGTGTTCTTTAAATTCGTTGAATTCCTTGATCATGTTGATGATTGTTCTTTTACATTCAGTGTCCTGGGTTATCTCCAGGGTGTTCTCCTTGTAGAACTCTTCTACAGGATTGGTGGGGTTTGGTGGGGATATAGTGTTTTGGCTCTCCATTTTATTATTCTTTCATTGTGATTTTGGCATGAGAATTTCTTTTGTTGTTTATGATTCTGATATGGGAATTAGGTTGAAGTATGCTCCTGTTTCTATTATCAGGGTGCCTAGATCCTTTCTTTATTAGTTATGTAAAGCTGGTTGGTACAGGGTTCAGGTTCTCTCAGTTTTAATTTGGAAGGAACTGATGGCTTCAGATCAGGTATTGAGGAGTACCCACAAAAGTCTAATTCAGGTTCCAGTTAGGTACACTCAGGTTTCCTTCACCACATGAGGGAAGCCAGAGGGAGGCCAGACCTGGCACTCTCTGGCAGTCTGCTGAGATCAGAGCTGCTATACTGATGAAGGTCAAAATCTACCCTCTCAGGCTGTCTGATAGGATCTCAGCCTTAGCCTGCCAAAGCCAGATCTTCCCTCGGGTTTTGGGAGGGGCCTCATGAAATTCCAGGTAGGGGCACAGGTATGGCACAATTAGTGGAAGCTCACCACCACATGGAGGCAGGATCCGAGGGCTCTCAGGCTGCCAGTGGGAGTCCAGAGGGAGGCCAGAACTGGCACTCTCTGGCCGTCTGCTGAGATCAGAGCCGCTACACCAGTGGAGGTTGAAACCCACCCTCTCAGGCTGTCTGCTAGGATCTCTGAGAGTCCTTAAAAGGAGAAATAAAGGTAGCTAAGAAACACCTTAAAAAGTGTTCAACATTGTTTGTAATTAGGGAAATGCAAATTTAAACCCCTTTAAGATTTCATCTTACCCCAGTCAGGCTGTCTAAGATCGAGAAAACAAATGATACCAAATGCTGAAGAAGATGTGGAGAAAAGAAAAGACTCATTCACTGCTGATGAGATTGCAAATTCATGAAACTATTATACAAAACAGTGTGGAGTACTCTTAAAAAACTAAAAATGAACCTATCATGTGATCTGGTTATACAACTCCTTGACATATGTCCAACTGCAGAGATACTTGTACATCCGTTTGTTACTGCTCTTTTTACAGTAGCTAAGAGATGGAAGTATCCTAAGTGTCCCTAAACTGATGAATGGATAATGAAAATGTGGTACATTTACACAATGGAGTTCTACTCAGAAGTAAAGAAAGACAAAATTGTGGAATTTGTAGGTAAATGAACGGAACCAGAAACTGTTATATTAAGTGAGTAATACAGACACAAAAAACAAATGAGTGTGTTTTCCCTCATTTGTGGATCCTAGCACCAAATCCTTATATGTGAGTATATATCCTGATGTAACTGCAAGAACCAGGAAAATGGAAGAGTACCAGGGAAGTAAAGAGAAAGAAGGAGCCTGAGAGAGGAACATTAGGAGACAGGTGTTATCAAGGGGGAAATGGGTAAAATAGGGGTATTTAACTGGGAGGGGAAGAGGGAGAGTTATACAAGGAACCATGTGGATAAAGGGGAAGAAGGAGCTCAAGAGAGGGGGACACCATAGGAGATAGATGTTATCAAGGATGAAATGGGGAAAATGGTGTACTTTAACTGGGGAGTGAGGAGGAAGGGTTAGACAGGGATAGAGAGAAGAGAGATAAGTAATGACTAGCTGGTGTACATCTGTATAGCTAAGGCTCTGTAACAATAAGCAGCTTGGGTGAAAAAACAGAGGGAAATTATTAGTTCAAAGCCTACTGAAAAAAATTACACATACAATATCTCTACATGAGTCCATGTGTATAGTTTAAGGCTATATAACAAGAAACTATCATACAGGAGAAACCTCCCTTCGAGTTGTTGACCAGGATAATCCTAAAAAGTATGCAAGTTATTGTCACAGCCCTTGATTGCCTCCCAGATCTTGAAGATAAGACCTTATTGCTGAATACAGGACATACTTCAGACACAGGACTTGGAGCAGTGGAGCTGGAACTGACCTGGAATCCTCCCCGAAGGATAACTCTTATAGTTTTGGAGGATAGTATGTAAGCTGCTAAGGGATAACATCAATTGATGGTCCAATCCTAGCTTTAAGGCTTAATAACCACAACGATGACTGGCACAGCAAACAACATTGACGTGTTAGTTGTACTTTTATCTTGTGGGTAGTCAGCAGCTCCTTAATTGGACTTAAAGTTCACTCAATGGGAGGGAACTTATGTGTAGTACTGTAAACATAGCCAAATACACATGGCTGGAGAGGTCATATATCTTAGAGAAAACCCTAAGGCTGTCCATCTCTAGACAAATGTAATTTCTTAGCATATGTTTAATATGAATCCTTATATTTAAAGACAAGTATGCCAGTCATCACTCATCAAAAAAGCTTTTGCAACAGGTGGAGACTGTTATAGAATTCCACAACTGGTCACACACAGAGAATAAGTGTCTGTGAGACGCCCAACTCTGGCTGCTCTCCTCTGGCTATGGTCACTCTCCTGCTCTCTCAGTTCCTCTGATCTGCCATCTGGTCTGGACCCCAGGGCTGGTAAGGAGTCTGTGCCAGCATTGCCACATTCAGACACAGAAGACCAGGTTCAGTGACACAGATCTGCTTTATTGCAAGAAAGTACGGGCTTATATAGGGGTAATAGTCCAATCATAACACAATATATAGGATCCTTTATTAGCATGGCAGACTAGTATCCTATTACAGTCTAGCAGGCCAGATGCCCTATTAGCATGATAAGTTTCAGTTTCTCTAAGTTTCAGATTCCTGGAAACCATGCGATTTACATAGTTTTCTCTCTGATAAGAAACAGGAAGCACTACATTCCGGCATGATAGGTATATAAGGCAAAAGGCAAAATCAGTCACAAGATTTTCCACAATATCTCCCCCTATTTTTTCATTTTTAAGAGTGAGGCACAGTTCAGAATATATAGCATACTGATATCAGTCCAGGGACTGTATGTGGCGGATTTTTCTGTTGTGCATCAAGGCAAGGTAGAATGGCTTGGGAGTCAAGGGATTGATCCCTTATTGTGGGCCCCATCCTTTAAGATGGCAAGTTCTCTCAAGAGCAGGCTGGGCCAACTCCATGCCAACCATTGGGAGTCGAGGTTCTTTGCCTTGGCATTGTCCCCACCTCAAGGGTAACCCAGCATTATGGACTGTGCCTGTTTTAGGTTGTCCCATCTTTTAGGATCTTACCCGTCATTGACTACCAGCCCTCAAAAGGTGAGTCCCTTGGTATGGTACGGCAGAGGGAGAGGCAATGTATCAAGCTTTGGCCCATTCAAAGGCCTCTTAAGGGGCTAAGAATTCAATAAAAGCCAATGGAGTGGGGTCATCCCATCTGGGGTAATGATGGGGATTAGGGAGTGGCAAGCTCTAGGCATTGGTCTCAGTCTGCCAACAGGAGTATATATCACAAGGCATTTCCTACGGTTCCAGCAGTCAGGCCGTTGTCTCAGGTCCATTGCATGGTTGTTCTGTAAGACTTTACACCTATCCTCAAGCCTATTTTTCATATCTTTATTATTATAGGTTGGTAAGGGCAAGGAACAGTGGGTCCTTGCTTTCAGAGACATGCCTGGCAAGATCTGGAGGCGGGGCAACAGCTAACTGAACCAGAGAAATATGAGTTTTAACAAAATTATCAAGACCCTTAACAATGCAGGGTCCAAAAATCAGGAGTTAGCAGTAATGATGGCACACATAATAAGGAACACAGACAAAGGTTTTCCTCTGGATTGAGGACTTAGCTAATGTCTCTGTTTGCAGAGAGAGATGCTTAAATTCACCCCAGGTTATTGGGTGTGCCATTGGAGCCTGTCACTTTCGTGGTCTGCAATGCCAAGTCGGTCTCTCAGTGGTTGAGAGGTGTGCTGCTTCCTCCAGGGTCAGGGCTACCATCTCCAGGGTCAGTGGTTGTGGAGGGAGGTTTTCCATCACAGGCAATTCTGATGTTCTGGGCTGGGATCCAAATGGGGGCTGGAACATTATCTGGAAAGACACAAGCATAGCCTCACCCTTGTGTTAACAACAGGTGTCAATAATATGATGGATACATTTGAGCTTGCCAAAGGAAGGGGAGTGAGTAACATCAATCTGCCAGATCTTGTTAGGGCAGGTGTGAGACCAATGACCCTGTCCTCCACAAGCCCAAAATTTGCCCTTGTCTGTCTCAGCCCTTGGCTGGTGAGTAGCCAGTGCCTCAGCAAGAGCGGTGGCAAGAGCTCAAGAGGTCCCCACATCCCAACAGACCATAATCCATTCAGAGACATCCTTGTGTCTAACAGGTCCTATGGCAAGGCGACACTCAACAGAGCAGCCTTCCATAAGAGAAAATCACCTCCCTGTAGACAGGCACGGGCAATATTCTGCCAGTTATAGGGAATGTTGGCCACATGGCTGATTGTATCTAATAGCTGACCAAAACAAGGGGAATGAATGCCATCCTCAAAGTCTGCCTTAATCAGTTTTTTTTAAGTATCATGAAAATATGGATTCCAGACATTAGGGTTCTGTAGTTCCTGATTGACAGTAACCCCATGCCCTACCAAGGCATCAAACCCAATGTTTTGGACATTGGCATTTCTATTGTGCTCTGCCTGTTGTTTGCATTCGTCCTGATAAACAGCCTTCCATAAAAGAAAATCACCTCCCCTGTAGACAGGCACAGACAATATTCTGCAGTCATAGGGAGTGTTGGCTGCATGGCTGATTGTATCTAACAGCTGACCAAACCAAGGGGAATGGATGCCATCCTCAATGGCTGCCTTACACAGCTTTTTCAAAGTATCATGAGAATATGGATTCCAGACATTAGGGTTCTGTAGCCCCTGATTGATGGTAACCTGGAAAAACTCTGGAAAATCACCCATTGTATCATAGGAGAGGGGCCTAGGTGGGAGGGGCTTCCAGCCCTCCTCTGGAAGTGGGGGTAGATGGACTGAGGGGGAAACTTCCTTAGGGCTAGTGCAAGATGGCAGAAAGTAGCCATTGCCCCGTAATGGCAGAGTGGAGGCTGCCTTAACTTGCTGTTTTTCATCAAAGCCAATATAAGATGGCGGAGGGTAGTCACCGCCCCATAATGGCGGGGCAGGGGTGATCTTGACTTCCTGTTTTTCATCAGGGGGACCCTCAGACCCTAATTCCTCATTTTTTACCTCATTATCAGCCATTATCATTTCCGCATCAAAAGAGAAATCAGTTAGTTTGGTTTTGACTGGAAATGCCTGGGACAGGCCATCCCCACTATTGTATTGCTTTATTTGTTTATGTTTTTTAGTATGAGATTATTCTGCTCAGGGGCATCAGGGGGAACTCCCTGAAGTGAAGCCAGAATGGCAGTCACAATGGGGCAGAATGGCCCAGATAATGGACACCCCTCCCTGACTTCTCTCTTCCTGGCCATGAATAGCACACAAGCCCATTGCTCGGAATCCCAAGAGCAGGAATCTGTAAACCAAGGAGCAAGAGGTAGCACTTCATCTAATACCTTAGTTACTTCCTTCTCTGTTACCCTAATTTGCCTACTCTTGAGTAGAGAAACCAGTGCAGCAGCACGGGGGCCGGCAGCAGCTGGGTGACTATTCCCCATACTGGAGGTCACTCACCCTACAAGATGTACCCAAAGGGACTCAGGAACCGTTCAAGGAGATGATTGGCAAAGACAGGAGCAGCACGCCCAACTGAAGATTGTGAGCCATAAGAAAAAGCAGAACAAAATGAAAGTGGTGAGCTACCACCGGCAGAGCACCGAGAAAGGGGGCTTCGGGAGCCCAAGGTGTTACAGCTCAGAGTGTTACAGCTTTGTGGGGAGGGGGTCCCAGCCCCACATTTGGGCACCTGCTGTGGTTGCTGGCTGTGGTTGCTCTCCTCCGGCTATGGTCACTCTCCTGCTCTCTCAGTTCCTCCGATCAGTCGTCCAATCCGGATCCCAGGGCTGGTGAGGAGTCTATGCCAGGGTTGCCACATTCAGATGCAGGAGGCCAGGTTCAGTGACACAGATCTGCTTTATTGCAGGAAAGTACAGGCTTATATAGGGCTAATAGTCCAATCATAACACAGCATATGGGAACCCTTATTAGCATGGCAGACTAGTGTCCTATTACAATCTAGCGGGCCAGATGCCCTATTAGCATGATAAGTTTCAGTTTCTCTAAGTTTCGGATTCCTGGAAACCATGCAACTTATAGTTTTCTCTCTGATAAGAAACAGGAAGCACTGCATTCCAGCATGATAGGTATGTAAGGCAAAAGGCAAAATCAGTCACAAGATTTTCCACAACACCAAACCTTAAGTGACTCATCTACAATGGAACCTCGACACCTAAGGCTCACAGAACATAGTGGAACAAGGGGTAGAGAGAATACTGATGTGGCCAAAGTGTAGAGAATAAGAGTTTGCAGTGTGTGGGTCCCTGGATAGGACCCCTTTATTAAACTTCACCCACCCAGGGCTCAGAGACCATTGAGGGAAAGGAAGTGGAAAGATTTTAAGGGCCAAGGGAGGAGGTACATGACCATATACGGAAAGTGAAACTTATAGGCTCCTGGGACCTTGATCATAGAAACCTACAGCAATAGTGTCAGAATGCACAAGACCCATGCAAACTCAAGCAGACAAAAACACAGCATAGAACTGGGGAAATAGGCAGCAGACCCCAATCTTAGCCAAAGAACTATTGTCAGCTGATTACTGTTGCACAAGGGAGAGTTGATCTTCTTTAAGGGAGTAACTCTAGCTAGGCTGACTAGACTCCAGTGGATAAACTTGCATTGGGAGACATCTGGGTACACAAACTTGTCTCCATAGGCCTTAACATAAATTACAGAATGCATGAAATCTGGTGGGGGGGCACCTATGGGAGTGTCTGGATGGGGCTGTAAAGATGATTAAGATATTTTGTACTAAATGCACAAAAATTCAATAAAAATTACACAAAAAAGAAGTATAAAAGCCCTTGCTGAATAAACCTGACCACCAGGTTTCAACCCTTGGAACCCACACAAAGCTGGAAGAGGAGGAGAACCAACTCCATAAAGTTGTCCTCTGACCTCTACATGTATGTTGTTTCATGTGTTTGCCACCACACACAATGATATTAAATACAATTTTAAAAATTGAAACTAAGATTGAGAAAGGAAAGAATGAAGCATAGAAGATACTGTCTTTCCTTTTAGTCAAAGAAATATTCAATCTATTCTGCAAATTTTTCTCGCCATGGTAAATGGTATACAACATTACCCAGGTATTGTGTTACATTTCTGTGCATCTGTGCATTTAATCACATACATAAAAAGTTATTAGTTGAAGGAACAAAATGCTCTTAAGTTTTATTTCTAGTAACACAGCCTCTATGATGTATAGAAACTGAATTTCATGTTTAAAGTATTTCTTGTTTCAGCACTGATGAGTTTGTACTTTATTCCAATTCAAGAAAAGTTTCAAAGTGTACATGTCTAAGCAAGGTCAAATTTTCCCATAAATCGATACTGATCTGGAATATAAGATCCAATTATAACAGAAGCCGTACTTTGGCTCTGTTAATAAAATCTGCAAAGATAGAATTCTATGCATCTTAATCAAATCTCCTGTGACTAATTCAGTCCAGGGGTTTGTACTGGTAAATGTTTTATATGTCACCTTCCAGTAATAGTGCTCAGTTCATCAGTCAATATCAAGTTGACCTCAAGATTACTGAAAATCTGGAAAAAATATAAAATATTAAATCATTCATTTTAATAACATAAGTAATAAATGCATATTACTCTGGAGAAATGACTCTTGATTTTTTAATGTAAAATTTATGAAACATTTCAGAATGGTGAGAAAAGGTCTGTCCTCTGGCATCCACATTGAGATCAGTGGGGACAATTTGCAGCCATCATATGGGATGTTGACACTGGCATTGAGTATCAAGAGGTTTGGTTTCAATTTGACTCAAGAAAATTCTCATCAGCATATTATTGTTTAGTAGTACAATTTAATAAACATTTAGTAAGCAAAGCACAATGTTAGGTGTATTAATAAGAGATCCCTTAGATGCAGGAGATAACAATTCAGACTCAGTTTACTTATGTGAAGGGCAAGTGTACCCAGAAGCCTCACAGAACTTCTGGCAGGAAGGTAGTCAGGTCTCATTGGAGCAGGAATGTACCAGACATCGTTTTTGTTGTTGGTTTTGTTTTGTGTCCTGAATCAGTTCCAGGCTGGCCTGGAACTCACTATGTAACCCAAGCTGGCTTGGAGCTCATGGCGATCTTTCTGTCCCAGCTGCTGTAGGGCTGGGATGACAGGCTTAAGGTATTATGTCAGACAACTTCCCTTCTCCTGATCCATGTACCCTCTTTTCTGTTGCCTTTTTCCTCTCACTGCAGATCCTCATCTTTGTCTGCCCAGGAGCCCCCTGCTCTGCTTTCTTACCTGTTTTACTTTATCCATTGAGATGGAACTTTCTTGCCACCGTGACCAATATCTGAAGCTATGTAAAAGGAGGAAAGATTTATTTTGACTCATGGCTTCAGCCTCTGATAGGCTTATTCAATTGCTGTGGGCCTGTGGGAAGCAGAATGTCATGGTGGGAGGAGAGCGTGGTGGAGCACAGGAGGGAGGAGGGAAGGAGAAAGAGAGGTGTGGAAATGGCTTTTGGGAATGCCTTCTGTTACAAACGGGAATCTTACCTAACCCTGCAACCAAAGCTAATATGTTTCTGATATGTTAATGGTATCTCGGCTTTTTTACAATGTAAGCATTCTTACTAGGTCTTGGGTTCCTCTTGTAAACTAAACAGATTACTTTAATCCCTCATGACTTTCCTTGCCCCAGACCCAGAATAATGTATTTGTGTGTATGTTGTGAAAATATCATTGGTGAAAGAAGCAAGGTTAAAAGCAATGAATTATCCCTGGGTTATTTTTCAGACAACAGTTGGGATTAGATTGAAAACATCTGCTTGCTGTTACATAATGCTGTTCTCCATCAGTGGGGGTCAGAAAGGAAAATTCCTTCTCTGATAAAACAAAGTTCTTCATTTTCCCCCATACCATGCTGGATGCACTGTTTCAGGAAATAGAAAATCCTTTGTTTCGAGAACTGTTCTGAGAGAAATCAGAAGGAACAAGTTCTGAGAACAGATGGGGCTCACTCTTGGATTTAAATGACTCCAACAGAGAGGCTGTCTCTGTTCAGGCATCACAGTGTTGTGGCATCTCCGCCACAGGGAAGCAGGACAGGAAACAAGTGATGTCATTCAATGGCACACCCCAATGACTCACTTTCTCCAACAAGACTCCATCTTCCTAAAATTTCCAGCACCTTCTACCAGGTGGGGACAAAGCCTTCATCCCAAGTGGAGGATAGGCAATATTTACACCATAACAAGGACCCCTTGCAAATGGTAACTTCCAACCCTAAATCTATATGACTTTCCAAGTAGATTTTGTGTGTGTGTGTGTGTGTGTGTGAGAGAGAGAGAGAGAGAGAGAGAGAGAGAGAGAGAGTATCCTAGTGTGTTCTGTTCCAAAATTCAGAAGAGAATCTGATTGGCTCAGCTGAGCTTAAAAGTACCCACTCCTGCTTCAATCAGTTATCATGATGGGTGGGAGGGTTGAAAGATCATACATAATTAGAGATGTTGCTTATAATATGAGCTAGGTAGGTAAATTATCCAAAAAAAAGTGAGAGTGAGGAATAGGGCAGATGAATAGAACATCAATTCTGGCCCCTAAGTTTCAAACATAGAGAAAAATCATACATAATTTATATCAAAATTAGCATAAGAAACGTTATTGTAAAAGGAACCAAAAGCAAACAACAAAAATACTAGTCAGTTCCTGGAGTATGGAGAAGGGAGAGAAGGGTGGAGAACACTCAGTTTATTAGGAACATCTTGAACAGAAAAGTCAGCAGACAGGGAGAATGGAATGAAGCCTACATTCTTGGTGGTTGAGGAGTAGATATGCCACACAGGTTGGCAGGCATGCCTTGTGAGGCAGCTGGTATATAATCTGCAATGGGAAGTCACTGAAGTGCTTGATCAGTAAGTCATATAAAATCTGGGCTTCATGAGGGTGCCTCGGACATGGCAGCTCAATGAGTTGGATGTAGTGGGGAAGCTGGAGTGTCCGCCCTTCTTCAGCTGGTAGGCAGATGGTTCATTAGCATGAAGTTCATTAATGGTCTGAGTGAAGCTATGGAAAAGAAAGGACATAAAAGATCATTTTTAACAAAGATAGGGCAGAGCATGCCTGTGATGGGTAATTTTGTTAACTTGACTGGATTTAGAATCACCATGGAAACATACCCCCGGGTATGCCTATGTGAGTGCTGTGAAATGTACAAACAATAATTGGAGTTTAAAATGCTGACAAAGGGCCAGGCATGGCACTGCACACCTTTAACCCCAGAACTCAGGAGGCAGAGGCTGGCCTGGTGTACCTAGTGAGTTCCGGGTCAGTCAGGACTACATAGTGAGATCTAGCTCAAATAATAAAATAAAATACTGACAAAATGTTTAATATTTTTGGTAAAACCTGGTGTGGGTTTCAAACAGTTTCTAAGTGGAAGAAAGGAGGTAAAGGTGGAGATGTGAAGTAGTAACTTGGTTTCTCTTAGTTTAAAAAAAATAGAAATTGGGGCTGGAGAGATGGCTCAGTGGTTAAGAACACTGGCTGTTCTTGCCGAAGACCTGGGTTCGAATCCCAGAACCCACATGGCAGCTAACAACTGTCCGTAACTCCAGTTCCAGGGGATCTGACATCCTCTTCTGTCCTCCACAGGCATTGCATGACACGGGTGCACTTACCTACATGCAGAAAATACATATACACACATAAAATTTTAAAAATAATAAATACATTTTTGAAAAAAAAATTTAAAAAATAGAAATTGCATCAGCTCTGGAAGTGGCTGACAAGTGGACAAGACAGATCCCATG